TTATATTGATTTTTGCAAATTTCAAAGACTAAAAATTGCCTGTAATGCTCTGTAGAGGACTTTCCTATGTATTTGCAGGTCTCTTTTAAAAAGTAACAAGCTTATAATTTATTGTCTCAGTCTTTTCCACTGACTATATTACTGACCTCTTAATGTGTAATGGCCATAGAGGTGGTAGTGTGCTATTTAAGAACAGATACCTGATTCAGAGCTAGGCTGGGGCAACTCACTATCTCAACTTCTTTCTTTAAAATTGGGCTAACAGTATTTCCTAAGTTTGTTATTAGGATTAATTAAATAATACACCGTACAGCACCTGCATATAAGTAACATTTGCTGAGAAGTATTATTTTGTGTCTATTTTATTCTACAACTTGATTTTTTTAATGACTTTGTGGTGACAACTAAGTTTTCCTTTTTAAGGTCTGGAAAAGCTTTTGAGTCTGTTAAGAAACTCATCAGCTGTTCGTTTCAACTGCTGTTCTATTCAATAAAATTCTGTTTCAAGACGTAGTTTTCTTTAAGCCTTTAAGCTCGAATCTCTTTTATTTGTAATTCCAATTTGTAAATGGAGGCACACATTTTCATTGATGACTGTTTAGCTCCTATCTTTGACAGATTAAATTTTCTTAAACATTAAAACCCATATATAAACTTAGATAAGTTCCCTTAATTTTTAAACTATATTTACACATTTAATATATCTTATCGTCTTGAACACATCAAATGCATGACCGGGTGGACTTAACAAATCTAGCAAGCAAAACATTTCTCAGTCCTTCAACTGGAGCGCATGTCTGTCTGCCCAGTCCTCTCTGCAGATGAGCTTCAGATCAGAACTGCCCTGGGAGATTCGTGAGAGTGGGCCTTTGACACTTTGCAACTTTTCTTGTAGCCTTGAAATTCTACATTTTCTATTCAGATCAAAGTTTCTACCTAATTAGATACTGCATTCTTTTTATGTAGTATCTCTATATCTGTCTTGTAGTTTTGTACTTACTATATCACCACACTGTATTTCAGAATATTAAGGTAACCGTAATTCATTTAATATCTGTTCTTGGTTATTAGGTTATATTTCCAGTTTTATAAATAACTATTGAAAATATAATTGTAGGAATATTTTGCGTATATATTATTTCCTTAGGATAAAAAGTGCCTTGCCCCTATATTAGTTGTGTAATGTAGTCTATTAGTGATGTAATGTAGTCTAGTGGCGCAAACCTTCTGCAGCTCCCATTTTCACTCCTTTTTTGAACTTTAGAGTCACTTTGTCAAATTACAGGAAAGACCCTATCAGAACTGTTAAAAGAAAATGACTAACATTATATATTAATATGGTAATGTCAAACTCTTAATGGTATGATATCTCAGTTTCCCTCCTACGAATATGGTGAAGTTTTGTGGGGTTTTTTTTTTATCCCCATCAGCAGTAATTTTTATAGCTTGCTTTATATAAATTCTAAAAGTTTATTTTTAATTATGAGGGTTTGAAAGCTTTTTTTTTTTTTTTTTTGTCATTGTTGTAGTGGTGACATCAATAGCCAATGGTCAGGTATCTGGCCGTATTTTTATTAAGTTTTCTAACTGGTTTTTATTGGTTCTGTAAGAAAGCTGTGTATGTGTTTAATTTGTAAACAGAACCCAACCTTTAGTGGAATATTTGTTTGCTTGAGATAGACAGTTGTTTTCACATACACATTTCTTTTTTCTGCTTTTCATAATTACTTGTCTGTTTTCTTTTTCTTGTCTTGATTTATAGACTAGAACAATGTTAAATACCAGAGGGGATAGAAGTAAAACATAGATGCACTATGATGTCTAAATATGTTTTCTTGTAATTTGACAAAAACATTCTAAAGTTCATTTGAGGGTGAAAAGGGACACAACAGTAGAAAACTTTTTCTACTAGACACTAGAATATATATTACACAACTAAAATTGTGATATTGCCATAGAAAGAGCATAGCTATACACACTTCTATTACTATTGAATACTTTTCCCCCACAAAATCAACTGGGTGTTGGATTTTATCAAGTGCCTTTTTGGCTTCACTCGACATAATCATATCTTTTCATTTTATATATGTTTGTAATGTATTTTGTTATAATCATTTCTTAATTTAAACCTTCCTTACACTTCTGGAACAAATCATACTTAGTTCTAAAAAAAAAAAAAAACTAATAAAACAATATCATGTACTAAAAGTTCAAGTTTTGCACTTGCCTTCACAAGGGAGAGAGGCATCTGTAGAGATCTTTAACTTTTTTGATATTATCTAGGGTAACTCCCAGTGTCTTGCAGTGTAAGAGGACTTGGAAAGCTTGGCATCTGCTTTGTGCTCTGCCATAGTACTCTAAACAAATGAAGTAATGGAATTGCCATCCATTGAGAGGAACTGTGGTTGTTTTGTCACTTTCCTAGATGCTGATAGGAAAGGATGACTATAGGAATGAGTATGTTGAAATCATCTTGATGGCAAACTTTGTGTCCCATGATTGGTTGATACATGATGAATCTGCTGTGTATATTTAATCTTCTTAATGAAATCCCAAGGAAAATATCAATCCTACCACTAATGATGATAAATGGGCATTGTACTCAGAGTGCTCTTACTCCCAGGGGCACAAAGTTCTTCATGATTAATTATTTCAGTCATCCTCATGGTAGTCCCATGAGATGGGTGGCTGAGTGCTTCCTTTAAAAAAAAAAAAGTAACTAATTGGATTTTCTTCTGTTCTGTATTCTATGTTCTAGAACTGGGTAGCTACCTTAAAAAGACCTCCACACGGCCACTGGTGAAACAGGGTTTCAAAGTCACAGGTTTCTTTTACATATGAACACCAGGCCAGGGACACATGTGGAATAGTAAAGTTGAAGAGAATTTGGATCATAGTTTGGGAAGATGCTATGAGTGGATGAAGCTAGAGTTGGTGAAAAGAAACAGGCAATGGCTGAGTGCTTTGGTCCCCCTTTAGAAGCAGTAGTCCATGTGTTGAAGGTTTATAGTTGAAAGTATCCTACTAAGGCACCTCTTTATACTTATTCTTCCCTGAACATTGTGCTAGGGCACTGCAGAGAATGTCTATCAATCCAGAGTGGCAGTGGGCCTTTCTCATCGTGCTGTATAATGTGTTAATAGCTGGGGCATTTTCAAAGGGACAAGAGAAAGGTGAGATGTTCGAAGTTCTCAGTCACACCTCCTAGCCAGTCCCCTGCTCCCGTGATCCTCTGTTTCTCTACCAGGCCAACTCTGCTCATGCTTGTGCTTTCTCAGAAATGGGCAGTGCCTCTGTGTGGGCACATCTTGTCCGGGGAGCAGGGCTACATTACAGTTAAAACTACGTTGTGATGTATGACTAGCTCATCCCTCTCCTTACTTTCACTGTATGCCCTTCAGGCTTGTCCAGTAGTCTTCTCACTTCAGATGTCCCTTTGGTTAGACTGCAAACTCTTCTTCTTTTCCCCCACATCTCCCTCAGCCCTGGGGTGTTTAGGTGCACAAACACTTGTAGTTGATCTGTTTGCCACCCATAATTGTAAAGTATTGCCTGTACGTATTGACTGCCATTTTAACTTTTTTCCCTTTTTCTTTTATTAAATAAAGGCTTAGCTGTCACCACCTTGAGTTTTTCCTCCTCTTTACTTTTTCCTGAAAGGGAGGCCTTTAAAATGCAATGGATTATACTTAAGTTGTGCAGTGTACTCAGGGTGGGGACTAATTACAAGGTTTGAAAACCTCCTTAGGTGGCTGGGTTCTGAAGCATGACTAAAATACCGCTTTCCTAAATTGAGAACATCTGGGGTCGTGTTGCTAGCAAGTATAAAAGAGTTGGTGGGGCTCTGTGTTGTAAAGAAGTCTTTGCTCTTGGAGCCTGTGGAGCTTAAGCCAAAGGTACCCTATCCTCATCAGTGTCGTTGTGGGTAAGTGCCCCAAGATGGTCCTGTGGATGCCAGTTTCTATTGTTTGGTAGAAATTGTGGTGGCTGCATCAAAATGTTGTTAGTTACTAATTTACCATGCCAATTAGAGTAAGTTATCTTATCCTTCAACTAAAAGATTCTACTTGTTACCTAAATGAGACATAGCTAAGGCTTTGTGTATCTTTTCACCGTTTTATTTGAAGGTTGCCAACAATCCTTGTGTATGTTGTGCATCTCTGAACATAAAAGAATAAACTGAGGCAGTGTCATTTTAAATACCTTGAATGTGTTGCTCTTGAATCTGTTCTTAAAAGTGGTCACTTAAAAGGACTGTAGTTTTTTAATGAGAAAATAGAAAATTGACTGTTTTGACAAATGCAGAAGGTAACAACTATTCAGTGCATGTAAGCAACTCACATGGGTTTTTTATTTAAGATTCATAGAAAAGATACAGTCTTAGGAAGAAATGATGTGATCTCTGGGCAGGTTCTAGCTTATTATGACTTCATGGTTAGCAACAAGTAATAGTGCCTGATGAAGTGTTTGCAATGTCGGGTCCTAACTTTTATTTAAAGAAATTTAAAGGGAGTTAATTGTTAAAAGTTCCTATTTATACTGACATCAGCTCAAAAAGAGACAAGAAGTCCAAGATAAAACAATTTAATAATTTGTAAATAAACTCAATCTCAGCAGGTTTAACTATGTTCTGAAGATATATTTATAAAGGAAATGGCTTTGCTATGTTTCTTTACTTTGAGAATGTTTTTGTTTTGGATGGTTGACAATTGGACAAGTATAGTTTTTGAACACAGTTTTGTTTTGCTTTTAGGTGGGATAGTAACATCTTTTGGGGGGAAGGAGAATTGCCTTCCTTTCCTGAAAGTAGTGAATGTACGGCAGATACCTACGTGGGAGGAGCAATAATCCAATGGCTACCTTCTATGTTTTGTATTAGGAAACAAAATCAGTTGTAAGTGCCCATGTTGATCTTGGAAATAGAAGGATTAAAAAAAATTAAGTTTCCACAGAGAACAAGAACTTTACCATCTGCTTTTTGATCTGAAGACTGGGGGACAATGGATATCATAGAGACAGCGAAACTTGAGGAACATATGGAAAACCAGACCAACGACCCTGCAAACACTTACACAAGACCCACTGAGCCTGTTGAAGAAGAAAACAAAAATGGCAGTGGTAAACCCAAGAGCTTATCCAATGGGCTGCGAAAGGGCACCAAAAAGTACCCGGACTATATCCAGATTGCTATGCCCTCTGAATCAAGGAACAAATTTCCCCCAGAGTGGTGGAAAACGGGCATTGCCTTCGTGTATGCACTCTTCAACCTCGTCTTGACCACCGTCATGATCACAGTTGTGCACGAGAGGGTCCCTCCCAAGGAGCTCAGCCCTCCACTCCCAGACAAGTTTTTTGATTACATTGACCGGGTGAAATGGGCATTTTCTGTATCAGAAATAAATGGGATTATATTAGTTGGATTATGGATCACCCAGTGGCTGTTGTATCTCATATTAATACCTAACTATAATGAGAACAAAGGCATACTTAAGAAAAACATATAACCTTTAAAAGGATAAAACATCTAGAGTTTTCAAAACCCATGACCGGGTGAAATGGGCATTTTCTGTATCAGAAATAAATGGGATTATATTAGTTGGATTATGGATCACCCAGTGGCTGTTTCTGAGATACAAGTAAGTAGTTCTAACATGTTTTTGGAGTTTGTCATTGGTTTGTTTTTAAGTGAGTAGATGTGTAACTGAAATTATTTTTCTCAGTTTTTCCCTAATAAACTCAGTCTTAGACATTTGATGAAAGCAATAGAAATAACACACAGCATTGTGTGTTATTGAGCTTCTGTGTATGAAAGTTTCAAGCATACAGCAGTACTATGGCGGGTGATTCAGAGTTTATGAATTTAAGGTGCAGTTTGTAATTTCTAGTTACTCAGCACTATGGTATTTGCATGATAAGTCAAGAGGCTTGGAAAGAAATAACATTCACTTCGTCATGCTTGTGTTATTTCAGGCTCTTGACAGGTAGGGAAAGGAGTGGACCGGGGAACTTATTTCTCCATTACTCATCATATGATGACTGTGTTTGTCAATAGTCAATAGCCTGCTTTGAGGTTTGCCTCTATTCAGTTCTCAAATTTATGTTTCTTTTCTTTTTGCTTATTGGCCATCCATTCTCAACACTTTGTGAATTTAGAACTGGGTCCATGTGGTTTTGGTTTTAGATTTCTTAAGTAAACTTGCTTTCTCGTTTCCCCCTAGCACCACAAAGAAGCTCATGGTTCACTGGGTTCATCCTCCCGTTTTGGAATAGTAGGAGTCAGGAAGTAGTAAGCCAGGTACTTTGGCTTTGAGGACACTTAAAAATTGAACATAGCTCTGAAGTGGTTACTTCTCCTTCTCTGTGTGAATTCTGACTTCTAGTCCATAAAACTAAGGCCCCTCAATTCCCCTTTTCATCTCATTCTTCATTCAGACGTTTGTTTTCTACTAGGAATCTAGTAATTAAATCACTCAAATAAGAGTTTGATCAAAACTCTGCCCATAATCTGGGGATTTTAAAAATGTAATGAATGCAACATACTTGACACAATTTGACAATTCAAAATCAAATAGATTTTAATATTAATGCCACAAGGTGGTATTTTTTAGAATTTACATCTTATTGTTTTTTCAGTTGCTATTCCTTTGTGTTTAGAGTAATACAATCTATCTCCGCCAAAGAGTTCCCCAAATGCAACTTTGCAGTTTTGAAAACTTATTCCACAAACTAAAGTTGTTCCTAAGCATTTTTCTTAATATAACTCTCCTAATATGTTTCCTTCATATATTTAAGTAAAAGACACAGCTGTCAATTGTCTTTTATTTAGTAAAAGTAAATTGCTTCTGAAATTGTTATGGCATACTTTATGCTAAAAGTAAAGAACATATTAGTTGAACTTTAGTGTTTTTCTTTTTAGTGTCTGGCGTTGACACTGAATATAAGAGAGCCTAGTTGGGTCATAGGCTTGCTTTCTCCTTTAATTCACAGCAGTTTTATTGATATATGTGTGAAAGAGAAATTTTCCAGGGTCTGGTAAGTACCTGGACTCCGCCCTGAAGTACAGTCTTCACCTCAATTTATTTGAATCTTCATCTAGGTAGTTAACTGCCTCTCCACCACCACCTTGGATTTTACTACGGTCACATAGCTGAGCCACACACTTTAATTACATCCACTGACTGTTTCAGTCACGAATCATACCAGTTTGCCTTTTACTTTTGAAGTAGAATTGGGTCTTATATAGTAGTAACTAATGGAATAATTCTTATAACCTGTTTTGAACATCCAGCTGAATGAGAAATCTTACTTGTTCTCTATCGTTTAAAAGCACTTTTCAAAGCTAGGGGAAGAAATCATCAGCAATAGTTCTTTTTCTAAATAAGGCTGCAGAGTACATGTTTCACCTTCTAAGTTAGTTTTCTGTTCTGAGTACAGCTGAATTCAGAATGCTGGAATGAACATAATTGATTCATCACAATTTCTGCTTATTACTTCACCTTATCTGATAGCATGGAACAATTCAAAACAGTGCTCTTTTGGGGCCTGGGGTTGAATCAAAGGGTGAGTCATTTTTCACTTCAAGGGGAGAGACTCAGCACTGTTTATCACCAGCTCTTTTTCAGTACTAGAAAGGTCAGAGCTAGAATAGCAGTTTTTTTTTTTTTTTTTTTTTTAAGGACCTTGGAATAGATAAATACTTTCATCTATCAGTCTAGGTGATGTGTCTTTGTTTGTTTGTTTGTTTGTTTATTTATTGACCCCAGAAACACTGGAATATTCTTAAAATAGCTATAGGAGAAAGGCAGCTAAAATATATATTTGTACATAATTCTTTAAATTAGAAGTTCCAACACTTACCTGCATTCAACCTTGATTCATGTCAGAACCACACCTTGGAGAAAACTTAAAATATGCCACATTCCTGAAACTGCCTGTTTTTCCAGAAGTCTTTGATCAGTACCAGTGTTGAAAAGTTGGAGAGCTCTGAAAGTGGGAGACCTAGAGTAATGTATTTTATGCACTAGGGAAGTTGCAACTAGCAATCCTAGAGGCTTTAAGGAATCCCACTCATCTTTTAATCCCCAGAGCTCATAGACCTAACTACATGACAGAAAGGGAGTTTCGTCTTCAGCTGGAAGTGAGGACACTCAGAACCCTTGTGCCCATTCAGGTATCCTTGAGGCAGTGGTGTAGTGTCAAAGCCTTTCCCTTTGGAGGACAGCGTGCTCAGAGCCTGGGGACCAGTCCCTCAGACTGAGGACTCAGGTAATGAAGCACAGGGACTAAAGCTAGTCAAGACAACTATCTTCACAAAAAAATATAAAGTGAAAAAGAATTTGGAGGATTGTTTTTCCTTTTTTTGATCAAGATTGGATAAATTAAGAGTAAATGTATCCATTTACAGCTTCTTTATTAAATGTTCTTAAATGTACGAGGGCCACTTTGGACATCTTCAAAATACAACTCTCTGAAAAGCTATTTGGTCACAGAGAAAATAGTTCATGCCTAAGTCATCAGAATTCCTGTGTTCCCAAGTAAACCTTGTTCATATAACTTGGGTTAAATGAGTTGTCACATTTCCCTATGTGTCTAATTATGTAAAATCACCTTGGTTCATTAGTGAATTCCTCTGTGACCATGGCTCGCTTACGCCTTTGGTATGTTCTCAAGAGAGTTCTAGTAATGCAGTGAGTTGACTGAGAACACAGAGACATTCATTGAATTCTCTGGCAAAGGGTGACATTTTTTTAGAAGAGGTGATTATCTGGACTCTTAGTGGATGTCAGTTTCCTCACTCCCCACACACTCATTCCTTTTGGGCCCCAAACCTCCTAGATTTACTGTAGTTTGTGGATCTTCATTTCTGGAAACTGAGGTGCAATCTCTTTATGGAATTGTAGGGATGGACAGCTCACAAATAAGCCTTTAAACTCTGGGAGACTGGTTTGTTTATGTCATTCTGTATTAATTATTTTTTTCTTCTGTCAAAACATAGTTTTATATTGCACTAAGAACAAAAACTGACCAGTGAACTTGTGTTTCCCCATCCCTGTTTTTCCTTTAGGTCAATAGTGGGGCGCAGATTCTTTTTTATCGTTGGGACTTTATACTTGTATCGCTGTATTACAATGTACGTTACTACTCTTCCTGTGCCTGGAATGCATTTCCAGTGTGCTCCAAAGGTAAGCAACGCTTAATTACCATTTAGAGGAAATCAAGAAAACAGTTTTTGAACACCTGCTCTCTATCATACATACTTCTAGATGCTTTCATGTGTGTTAACTGAAATCTGGTTTATTTTCTATTTTTCTTTAGATTTAGGGGGAAGAAATTAAAACGTATTCATTAAAAAGTCTATCTTTCTGCATAAAAATTTCATTTTCTGCTACCTGCAAATTACCATTGGGTGTTTGACTCCCTGCTTTTTTACCCTCTCATTATTCATTCTATAAGTATTCAGCTTACATACAAGGCACTATAGTAACCAAAGTAAAGTCCCTCTTCTGGAGGTGAAATTCTGTTGAGGGATGACAAATGATAAATTCATAACTTGTCACATGATGATAAGCCAGGTGATTGTCAGGTGAACAGTAGAGCTGAGTAAGGGTGAAAGGGAGTGTGAGGGCAGGTGCTATTATACAGAGAGGTCAGGAAAGCCTTCTTTAATAAGAAAACATCTGGCAGAAACCAAGACGAGAAAGTGAGCCATGTGGATGGGACGAGAGCTTCAGGCCAAGAAAATAGCCTGGTCACAGTGGGTTCAAGGAAGAGCAGTGTGGCCAGTGTGGTGAGTGGAGTTGTGATGGGTCAGGGTGGTGCAGGCCACAGATCCCATTGGGCCCTATGTCCATTGTAGGAACTTCAACTTTGGTGTGGCTGTGGAAGTGATGGGAAGTCGCTCAACTTGGGACATGTTTTGAAGGTAGGAGCAATACGATGTGTTAATAATAAGTTGGACATAGGTTTGAGAGAAAGAGTCAAGGATGACCCCAAAGTGTTTAGCAGCTGGAAAGATAGATTGGTCTTTTGCTGAGATATAGTGTGAAGATGTTTGCTGAAACTGTCTTCAGCAGGAATTACAGTTTCTCTATGAAGAGTTAGTTCTCAGAGAGCTTTTAATCATCTCAGACCCCAGTGTGTTCTGGTTTATGAAATGGAAGCTTGCAAATCTCATGCTTTCTGGACAAGGGAATGAAGTTTAACATCATATTTTACTGAAGACTAAGCAGATATCTGAGGTGAAAGAAAAATAGAGTTGTTCTGAAGAAGTCAGTAGTCTCCACCAAATATAGGTGTGGTTGGAAGAAGCTATAATTTTCTAAAGCCATCAAAGCAGAAAGTGTCTGTAATTAAAACAGTGTACATATTGAATTTAAACATTGGCCGATTTTTAGTGAAACTAATTTAAGGCATGGGAGGGGTTCAAAAGCATAATAAACAGTTCTAATGGGCTGTTGCAATGTGTTAAATGGAGAAACAGCCACAGAGAGGAAGACAGGCTCATCCTAGTAACGGATGAGGTTTGCAAAGATGAATTGCTATGACTACAGAAAGAAAACAAATTAAAGATTGTCTTCTGTGGAACAGTTGCAATTTTCAGAAGCCACATCAGTAAATGTGCCGCTGGGCCACCAAGCTACAGATACATATAATGGAAACTCAGGTGACATCTTTCTAATCATCTACCATGTTCAGTTGTCAGGACGTCTTCCTGAGGCATAGCAGGCTCTAGGTGCCTGAATCGTGGTTCAGTAAAACAAACACAAGTCACTTTGTTTGACTAGAGGTGATGTGGTGTTATAGAACAGAAGTCAGAATTGCATTCTAAATTTGGTTCGCTCACTGGCTCTGAGTGCTGCTTAGATTTTTGTGGTTACAAGGCTATTAGATAAATCTACCCGTTTCCTGTATTGCTGACTCTATAGAATGCCCTTCATGACTATGAGCAATGACAGAACTTTGCATACTGCAACCACTCGCTATGGGAAGTTATCAGATCTAGTGACTGTTGCCCAATACTACTTGTTACTCACCAGATGTGATCACTACAAGAGCCATTGCAGTGAGATCCTTGGCTTTCACAGTTTCCCGGTTGCCCTCTCCCTTTTCCACCCTACACTGTAAGTCCTTTGCTTACAATTTACTTCAGCCACCAACCCAAGCTTTGATTTGCAGTCAGAAATTTTGTGTGTTTAGATACCTTTTGGTCCAGTTATTATGAAATGATTTAGCTTTTCAAACCATTTTGCCACATAGAAGAATGTTTGGCTGGGATAGTGGGCATGCCCCTTCCCTGAGAAAGCTTTCTGGGGCTGGCTCTCCCTCTCATCCTGGCCATAGATGGCCAAAGGACTTCTTTTATTTTTTATTTTTATTTTATTTTTTTATTTTTTATTTTTTGTCTTTTATCTTTTTCCGTGTCCAGCAACGGATCGCAACCCTCAGTGTTGCCCCCGTACCGGACCAGGGACCGGCAACGGGATCGCAACCCTTGGTGCTGCTCCCGCGCCTCGCTCAGCCAGTGAGCGGGAACCGGTCCGTATGTGGGATCCGAACCCTCGGGCGGGAGCGCCGCCGCGCTTCTCAAGCGGCGCACTTATCCAGTGCGCCACCGGGCCAGCCCCCAAAGGACTTCTTTTAATTAAAGGGACAGTGTGGATGAGGTTTCTCATTTGGCAGCAGCCACGGTGGGCTCTCGTGGACCTAATTTATGTTCATGGAAAGTGGCATAGGGAGGTCACAGTTGGAGGAACTTCTAGGTATACTGGAGCCTTCTTCTGGCTTGGCTGTTTTGATTGACGTTTCTCCTCTTAGGTTTCTATATCTGCAATTCCATATTCAGTAGTGGCATAGAATGGTGTCTGAAAACGAGGAAATTGATAGGAGAAAGAGCGTTTTGTGATGTGTGATTAGGAGATCCCAGTGAACTAGAATAGAACTAGAAAAAAACTTCATTAATCCTAATACTGTTCTCCCTCCCTTCTCCAGTTTTCTTTCTACCCTCTTCTTTTTTCTTTCTCTTCTTGAGGTTCTATTTAGCATTTATACTAAACATGATATGGTATCCAGGATAGCAGTGAGAGGATTGAGGAATTAAGAACTAAGACAGAGCAAGAAGGAGAGAGTCCTTCTGTTCTATAAAGGCGTAGTGACTCTCCATACTGCTGAAAGGAAGAGGGAAGAGGAAAAAAGGCGTGGCTTATTTCAGCTCCTAGTGTGTTTTTATCTTTGAATCCATCTAACCCCAAGTATAGGATTGGCTTCAAGTGTTTCTGCCCTTAGAAAATTATAGAGTTGAGATGGGTGAATAGATTTTTTTTTTTAAAGTCATTATGGTTTTGAAATGAAGAATAACGTGTCCATTTAAACTGGGAACACAGTGGTCAGGAAGAGTGTGTATACTTTGTATTTGATCTCAGTTTTGGCAGTTGTTTGTACCAACCTCGTGACAAGAAATTCCTCAAGGGCTGTGGCTGATCTGATAAAGCACATGGCTTGATTCTATCCTAGATAGCAAGGGCACGTCACATCATGCTAGCTAGTTTGTAGTATGCCTTTTCTGAGGTGTGCCTGGAGTGAGACCTGCGACTGTGTCACGGTCCTCTTACCGTCCTCAGTTGTGGATCCTGTCTTTTCGAGGCAGGATCACCCATTACTCAGTACGTTAAGTTTAAGGACTGTCTACTCTTGGCAACACACATACGTTCCCTTGGTTTTGCCACCTGGGCTTGCCATAGGCAAACTTACAAAGAAGGTGAAGTTTCTTTGAAAGCTCTGGTTTCTCACCCTACCTCTAATCATGTCTTATGTCATTTTCTGTGTAGTGCCTTTTTCCCAACCATCAAGCAATCATGGTGTGTTTGCCTTTTTACAAGGGTTTCTTGAACATCAGACGCATAAGATTTATTTTTTTTAATTGGGACATTTTTAGGCACCTCAAGAGGGAGGTTTTTAGGCAAGGAGTCTTGCCCTAATTCCTTACTGTACTAGATAGGATGGTTTTCTACCTGCTTTGGGGACTGACTTAATTTTTCTACTCCTAGACTTTCTCCCTGTCTATCTGTACATGTCTTACTCTCCTTTGCCATGTTGCATCCACATAGACAAGACATGGCCTTGTCTTTACCACTGAACTGTCTAACCCCTGTCATGGCTGCACTGGCCATGCTTCAGGGCTCCAGAAAAACCATCATTGAGTATAAAAGGCAGCATGTCCTACACCTGTCCTCCAGGTCTCAAATGAATAGTCAATGATGGTCTTTCTACATTTCTCTTCCATGTGTACTATTACTTGATCTCTTCCTGAATATCATTGTTTTCATTTTCTAAGCCTATTTTCTCTCTACTAGACTGATCTGAAACCCTTTATCTAGCCCCTCAGAATTTCAGTTTTTCAACTTTCCATGCCTACCATTTTGAATAGCTCCTTCTGGTATGCTTCTGTTTTAATAAGGTTTAAGCTTTTGACTATTGCCTCAAACTCCTGCCCTAACCCATCATCATTTCCCATGTCATCCTAGTGGCTTCTACAGGCTTCTGCACCCTTGTTCAAGGGAGCTGTCTTCTGAGCCTCTGCCCCAGCACATAGGTTGTTTCTTTGGGGGATGTTTTTCCTGATCAAAGCTACTCATTTTTAAAGCCGCCAGTACATTCCCCAATCCATCATTTTCAAACCTGCCGAAATTATTTAGTGAGTTTCAGCTCCTCTTTTAAACTATAAATGTTTTTATCAGACATTATTACAGCTCTATGTACACTTAAGGTTGCCCACTTAATACAGGGTAGCAGTATGCTATAGAATATTAGTAATGTGGCATGCAGCTGAATTGAATATTAAAATTCTGAAACCCTCACTTCCCCCCGCAAAAAGGATAGAAAGTAGCTTTGATCTGCTTTTTAGTGCTTAGCTGTGGTGAAGTCATTGGTTATTAATATTTTTAAAAGCTTTGCTCAAGGACACACCACCACTAAAACATATTATTAGTAACATATTGAATAATTTAAGGTTTGTCAATAAAACTTGCCAGCACAATGAATAAAACCCAGTTTGAGGAGCTTCCCCTTGGATTCTTTTTGACTTTTTAGGTTAAAAAGAAAAAAAAAATCACAACCTGGTGACCTTTCTAAGTGTCACACAATTAGGCTGAAAGATGATTTTATCGCCTTTAAATTTTCTTCCTAATTTTTGTGTCATTCAGCTCAATGGAGACTCTCAGGCAAAAGTACAACGGATTCTACGGTTGATTTCTGGTGGTGGATTGTCCATAACTGGATCACATATCTTGTGTGGAGACTTCCTCTTCAGTGGTCACACAGTTGTGCTGACACTTACTTATTTGTTCATCAAAGAATGTAAGTAATAGCACATTCCTCTGCACTGATTGCTGTTGTGGGAGGGATCCTGAGCCCCTGAAATTGATGGGAGCTCTTATTCTATTGGGATTGATAGCTATGAAAGAGACAGACTTGTGCGTGCGTGCGTGTGTGTGTGTGTGAGTGTGTGTGTGTATACTTTATCATTTCAACTAGTCATTTATGACTGAATGCTTAAAACCTGGCTTCTCTCAAGCATTTAGCATGCCTCCAGAACATCCCTCTTCTTGGTTAGTACTTCTCAAGGTCTAAATAGCTGTCTTAATATCGGAACTAAGAAGAACATAATTGTTATGTTTATCACAAAAACAATTGGCACATTCTAAAGCCAAGTGTAAATGACCTTTGAATGACTTGTATGACACTTTCAATCCATCATTCCAATAATTCAGTTAATGTTTTACCCTTTATAAAATGTTTCCTTGTCCCACTTTATTTTGATTTCATCATTTTGCAGCCACTTTCTATGCTTTAATAGGCATCTTCATGGGACATTTTGCCAATACTGATCATTTTCTTCTTAAGAAGAAATGAGGCAGCAAGAAGTTGAAGTCTTTTTTATATATTTATATACTCAGTTCCCATTGTACAAAATCCTTGTGTTTTCCAATAGCATTTATGGGTGAGGTAATACCTTGTTCATTGTAGGATTGAATTTGGTTTTAGCTGCCTCCCAGGTCTCATTTTTATAGATTTCTGCAGTTTAGTATAATTAGGCTCATTATCTCAGAGTCCTTTAGCAACAGTGATGCTTCTTCCTTCACGTTTGCAAAGTTGATCAGTGTTGACATTCAGTTTTAGTTCCAAGGTACACCATGCCAGTGTTTTTTAGAGGTTTATCTCAATTCTCTTCACTTAGCATATTCAAAAGGAGGTCTTCCAGCAGACAGTAGCTGAAGGAGGCCTCTCCTCCCCTGTCCTTGTTTCCCTCTTCTCTTGGCCCTCCATTAATCCATACAGCTGGACCCTGCTCCAATGGCAATGTAGACATCAAGGTTTACTTTCCAACTTCCAATGGTACAGAAGTGAATTCTTGCCCCACAGATTGCCTGGGGTTTTAGGTTTAAGTTCTGCTTTGAGAGCAATATGACAAAGAGTTGAGATTCTCTGTAGTAGAGGAAGTAAAGTCTTTGTGAGAGTTGTAGAGCTTCTGTGTTGTTTTCCTTTCAAGTTCTACATACAGACTGGCAGTAGGGGCAGTGGTGTGCTAAGTGTGGGGCCTTCGTCATACTTGACTAAAGGCTGAGGCCTGCTGACCCTTCCTCTTATTTCTGCCGTCACACTGTTGGGGAGGGGCTAGATCTGTCTCTGCACCATCGGGGGTGGTCGCTGCCATAAATTGAATCACTCCATTTCTTTTTTTTTTTTCTCCTTTTTGTCTTTTTTTGTGACTGGTAACGGGATTGCAACCCTTGGTGTCGTGCCCGTACCGTGACCGGCAACGGGATCGCAACCCTCGGTGTTGCACCCGCACCGCGCTCAACCAGTGAGCGGACCGGTCTCTATATGGGATCTGAATCCTCGGCAGGAGCGCCGCCGCACTCCCAAGCACCGCACTCTACCGAGTGCGCCACCGGGCCGGCCCATGAATCACTCCATTTCTGATACTTATTAATTGATTTTGTGGGGAGGGTGATGGTGAGTGTAATGATGTGTGTTATTTATGGTTCTGTTTTTTTCAATTTTTGGTGAGAAACAAAATGGCAATTCTGTAACATGTAATACAAAACTCAACTTTATAGTCAGTTCTGTACATAAACAGTGCATTCCATGTTTATGCCTATTTCCTGTGCAATTAGGAAAAACAATCACCTTCTAAATTATACTGTGTGTTATTGTTCTGAGTAAGTAGTGGTTCCAGTGGTTTCTTTGAAAAGTCTGCTTCTAGACTTAAATGGATCATCTATGGTGGGGTTTTTTTTGGTTTTTTATTTTGCTTTCCTGCTTTTTGATCAGTTTAGACTCTCCTTGTTTGCTCTGTTGTCATGAGTAGATTTAAATTTAGTCGTGAGAGCATATGAAAATGTGGGACCAGGATCATTTTGTCAGTAAGAGAGGGCTTTATACAGTTGTGCAAATATTATCATTGGGGCTTAGGTTCCTTATAAAATAAGCTTGGAGAAATCAGCGTAGCCGTTAGCACCGAGTGTCTGGCTAGTCAAAAAGACTTTTTTTTTTCTTAACCTTGCCACCTCACCAAGTCCGTTGTCTCTATTATTCAATGCCAACTAGGGCTAGGATCCCACACAGTGAAGCATATTATTTTGTGTGTGATCACCTTGTATCTCAGTGTTATTTCTATGGGTAGGAAGAGAACAAAGAGGATTAACCCTGTTGCCATTTCTGTTTCAAAATAGCTTATATTAAACCTTTTCTTTGGATCAGCCAGTGTTCTTAATAAATGTGTAGTGGTCCCAATATGGTAGCATAATAGGAAATATATTTTTATGTGAGAGCACTGCTAGGGTTTCCAACCATTCCTAAAATCTCACTTTTAATTCCATGATAGGAAAATTAACCCTTCAGGCCACCTCTTTTCTACTTACCTACTTCAGTTTGCTTCTTGTGAATAAACAAATACGAAATAGTTCTAGTTCACCCAAACATTTTGAACTTTTAAGGTAAATAACAGCTGACCTATAAGTACCATTCAATGGTCAATGAAAAGGTGAGAGCAGTGATAATCCTTGGTTAATTTTTTTTTCTTTAAATGAACTAGACCCCTTTTCAGTAAGTGGGGTTTTAAATAGCTTAATGGGAATAGCTGCTGTTACCACCCAAGTGTGGTTTAGGTCAGTTCACTTAAACTTATATCTATGACTACTTCTTAAAATAAAGAACTTCACAAATATAAGTGCCATTTAAGAATTAAAATGCTATAAAATTGTAGAGCACAGTGCTTTGCTAATTCAACTAATTTATACTAGACTTGAAAAGCATATTGCTAAATTAAAATTTAGAAACCTTCTCTGTAGAAGTGTAGTGTGAGACCTTAGGGAGGGTTGAGGTCTGTGGTGCTGGAGAATGCATATTTATTGAGGCCTCCAGATTTCTAAATGTTGGTTCAATATTTAATGTTCTGAGCCTAACAGAACGGTTATGGGGACTACAAGAATAAGGCCTCTCGCAACAATAAAATTCTGGGATTCTATGAGTTATCTGCTAGAACTTAGTGGCAGGATGAAGCAACTGAGAAGCAATAAGGAGCGCATCCAAAACTAGAAAATCAGACTTTCAAATGCAAGTACGGGTTTATTTTCTTACTGTTCTATTTGGGACCAACAGAGAGGGCAACTTTTTTACTAAAAAATATTCTGTATTTGAATTTTACCTGATTTGGTATTCCATCTGAAGTTCTGAAAATGAATCCTTTGGCTATTCAACCACTTTTCTACACATGAAAGTAAATATCACTATGAATGTAAACAGTAAAACATGAAATAAATTTCAGTTTATTGGATTATTAACTTTTATTATGAGCCAATAAAGCTTTAAAATACAGGGGGGAGAAAGAACACATGACCAGGTTATTAGAGATGAACTCTGGTTCCAGTTGTTTCTGTCATTTACACTTGCATAAGAAGGCTGCAGGGTGCATGATCGTGTTTAACGTGATGAGTGCTGTGACCAATGGAGTGAACTTCTTGGTAGCCTCCCCAGGAAAGCTGAAAGTCCATAAGTGAATGGGCAGGAATCCTAAGCTTTGCTAGGGAGTGGTTCATAGTTATTATTGGCAATACAGAAAAAAATTGCTGAGAATCGAAATATTGCTAGCCACAATGCCATTCTCCCCCACCCCCACCTCTCCACACCTGGAAAAATCAAAGTAAATTTAAGACCTGAAACTCCTGCTTTCTCAATTCTCCCCTTATTTTCATAGACAACTACCTTTTCTTTTGATCCCTACTGTTTTTCTTCCCTTTGGCGTCCTATATTTGAGCCGATGTGAACCAATTTCAGCCAACCTAATAAGAAATAGTTCGTGCTAGCAGTGGGCAAGGCCTAGACTATCTAACATTACCAACCTCCCCAGTGACTGACCTGCTGCTACCTGTGGTCTCCTCTTCCCCCCTCCTACCTGAGCAAATCCTGGGCAGTTCATAGTGACTCATTTTAGATGATCAGTTTTCTACTTCCAGTGACTTCCCGATCCTAGATTATTCTACTTCAGGTCATGAGGCCAGATTGTACACATTAAATTCATCTCTGGGAATCTTATTAACTCTGTCATTTTTCTACTGTCCAGATTCACCTCGTCACTTCTGGTGGTATCATTTAATCTGCTGGCTGCTGAGTGCTGCCGGGATCATCTGCATTCTTGTAGCACATGAACACTATACTGTCGATGTGATCATTGCTTATTATATCACAACACGGCTGTTTTGGTGGTACCATTCAATGGCCAATGAAAAGGTGAGAGCAGTGACGATGCTTGAATAACTCCTTTTCTTTAAATGCACTAGACCCCTTTTCAGAAAGTGGGGTTTTAAATAGCTTAATGGGGATAACTGCTGTTACCACCCAAATGTGGTTTAGGTCAGTTTGCTTAAACTTATGTCAATTACTGCTTCTTAAAGAACTTCACAAATACAAGTTCCATCTAAGAATAAAAATGCTATACAATTGTAGAGCACAGTGCTTTGCTAGTTCAACTAATTAATACTAGACTTGAAGAACCGTGTGTGCTAAATAAAAATCTGGAAACCTCCTCTGTAGAAGCATTGTGGAGAAGCTGGATAGGAGATGCTCCCGGCCCTTAAAAAACTTAAGTTAATGTTGAGAAAGAGATGGCAGCAGTTTCTAAAAATCAGGCACAATAAATAGCCTGTGAATTACTGGATTTGCTACATCTTTTGGTGATACGGTGCTCTCTGTCTTCCCTTCCTTACTTGTTTCTGATACTTCCTGTTCCCAGATGACCTTTTCTTTCTTCCCCCATTCATTCCTAAAGAGCTAGCTCAAACACTTTCTCTTCTGGGAAGTCTTCTCTAACTCCGGCTCTCTTCCTCTACTGCTGCCCTCCTCTGTGTTTTCCTAGCCTTGGTGTGTGTCCTTGGTGTAATAGAGTTAGTTCGTGCACCATAACTTATCTTTGCGTAGACTTGCTGTATTGTCTGGTGCATGTAATGTTTGGACAACTTGCGAGCAATTGAAATACGTCATTCCCTAAGGATCTCTATCCAACTCTTGGTGTCTTCTAATAATGCCCTTTCTATGGATTACTTTATTTCTCTTTGTTGCTATATTTCCTATTTTGTAGTCTCCTATTTCCATCTTCCTTCTTACATTTCCATCTAGGTGGCTCCTCACACCACTGAACCAAAATTTTCATCTTTTCTCTTAAATGTGTTCAACCTTCTAAGCTTTCCTCTCACTCTTTTGTCTTCCTTGGTTCCCAGATATGTCCACTCATGCATCCTGAAAATTATTCCTCTGGAATAATTCTCACATCCATTCCTGATAGTCCATTCTTACTGGAATTGTAGGCAGAAGAAATTGCACAAGCCACAAAGAGAAAAAGGCCTCTAGGTGTGTTGGAGACCATAGTCATGGCAGAGTTAGGGAAAAGGCATGAGAAAAACTGCCATGTGATCTGGATTCTACATACCCTGTTAAGTTACAAAGAATTACAATTTAACTAAGAAAAAAACTAGGATGCTAATCGCGAAAGATATGTCTCATTTTACTTTTTTCCTACTATTTACAGAACTTGAAGGTCTCTTCACAGACTAATTTCTTGTCTAGAGCGTGGTGGTTCCCCATCTTTTATTTTTTTGAGAAAAATGTGCAAGGCTCAATTCCCTGCTGCTTCTCTTGGCCATTGTCTTGGCCTCCAGGCTGCTTCAAGTCATCATGCAAAAAGTATTCGCGGGTCCAGAAGATCGGTGAAGATAATGAGAAATCTACCTGAGGAGCAAAACAAAGGCATCAGCTCTTATACCAAAAGAGTTCATGCTGTAACCAAAGGTATAGTTTTGTTTTTTTATTTTAGGAGAACTGACTAGTAAATGAAGAATTGGACCAAATTTCATGCAAATGATTAGGAAAATGAACGAAGTATTACTGATTGACTCATTTTTTTAATTCATGCTGGGAAAGATATATTCTCCTGTGGCTCTTCATTCATTGGTGACAAGCCCCAACACTGGGATTTTACTAATGAGCTTGTTAAAGAGGTGCCAAAGAACATGCTACTCCTTTCCTTATTCTTTGTCCACTAAAATCCTCTACTTCAGAATTTTTTCAGGATTTTTTCCTCCCAAGGTCAGAAGAATTTGTTAATGTTTTAAATAAAATATCTGGATATATACAGCCACTGTGCAAATAGTATAACCTAATATTGAGAGTGGTTTTTAGCATTAGGTTTAGTGAGAGGGAGATTCATGGGTTGTGTGTCAACTTTGTGAGAACTTTGTTTCTACCCTGTCATGAGGAAGGTTAGGGTCCGGTCTGGGAATGCGCACTGCTGCTACCACCCAGTGCACAATGTATCACTTCTACCTTTTTCTGTTTTTAACTCATAATTTTATTTTAAGAAAGTCGATCCAAGTAAATATGAAAGTACTTGATATATCCCACAGATTTTACATACGTGAACATATTTCACTTTAAAATCTCTGTGACAGATACATAGGAAACGTGAGGATGTTTCTGCTAGTTGGGTGTGTACACTCTTAGATGTCTGCCTGGTCAGTTTGCCCCAGGGCAGTCAAATGCTCTAGCACAGGCTAAAAACATGTATGTGAACTGATGCTCACGGCACTCAGGGAACAAGCCTATTTCCCTTTCAGGTCTGCCCTGGTGTGAGATCTGTTTGAGGGCTCCTGATTGGAACTCAAATTCTTTTAATTACATTTCATTGAAAAGAATTTCTTCCTAGTTACATTGTGCTTTATGGAAAAACCATGATGGAGCCTGAAAGTTTAATGTATTCTTGCCTTTTAGCAAGAGACTCAGCTTCTCATAGACTCGTTCTGGGGACATATAACACAATTGAGTAATTTTACTTTTACCCTATGAAAATTATAACATGGTGCTGCACTATACTATACTGTTGGAATCAGTGCATTAGATAGTTACAGCTACACAGTAAAGGGGGATAATTGTTTCTAAATTTCTTTGAGGTGATGCTAAAAAGATGTTTTTAAAAATCCGAACATGTTTAATGCTGTCAGATTGAGTGCATTATTTAATGCTATTGACTCTTTTGGATAATTGTCTTAATTTTTTAACTACTTGGAGGTTAATCTGGAAGATTTCTCATAACCTTGGAAAAAGGTTTATGGTTACAAAGTCATCAACACTAGGGCAGATGGTGGAGAGGCCAGTTGGGATGGGAGGAGGAAGTTATATTTATATTGAAGGTGAAATTTTCCCTTTACCTAGAATAGAAAACATTCTTAAATTTATCACTATAAACTAGTCAGCCTTGATTATACAAAATTGACCTTTTAATTGCTTGAGAAAAGCACAATACAAATCTGTTCAGAAGAGTCATCATCCTTTGGTGCTGAAATTATGTGTATGTTTTCAGGGTGGCTCTTTTGTATAATAGAAGAAATTGCAAAAAGAAAGGTAGTTGAATTGAAAGGCAGGAAGAGAGACTCTGTAATCTGGTTATATTATATTAAACAAGAATTGAAAACCCTAAACATCCTTGGCAAGCTTTGAAACAAGGATTTTTCTTGTATTTCTTATTAAATAAACCAATAATAAATGTATATCCAGCTTCTGATGTGTTTAGACATAATTCTATATGTTCACTTATTAAGTAGTGACACTTGTGATAGAACAAAGCATTCTGCTTGAAAACACTGATTTTGAATTCTTATTGTCTGAGTAGGAGGCAAATCATCTGACACCGAAGCCTGGGTTTTGCTCTCCTAACAGTGATATTTCCCTTGGGCCTCTAATCCAAATAAAGCAATCTGATATATCTTAGGGCCTTATTCAGCTGGGTCTTGGACAACCCACTTTTCTTCAATTGAATAAGGGAAAGTTTTAAGCTTTAAAAATAATCGCGTATTGATTATTGGACACCCTGGAAACAGTAAGCCTTGCATTTTAGTCGATTAATCCAGTTTTAAAAAAAATAACATCACCTTTTAAGGAACTTTAAAAACACCTGTGACCCCAGGTGAGGACACTACTGCTCCCATGTTCTTTACATATGTCATAGCTCTCTAATAGATGTTGAGGAAGCATGTGGCTTAAAAGTAAGGGGGAGAAAATTAAAATTTCAAGATTGGAAAAATAAGAGAAATAGTAAAACTCATTTACATGTAGGAGAGCAAACTTGGGATTTAACCCGACATGCCACTTTGAGATATAAAACATAAAACAATTATGATCTTGCCTTTAACACAGTCAATTTTCAGCATACCTTTTCTTTGCCAATGAAGATACAGATCTCACGCACCATCCATGATTTTCTAGGTCTGTGCTCCTGCTCAAAGTATTTGCTGTGGTTTAATCCTTTAGTGAAATATCTGTAACATATAATTCCTTTAAAGTATGCCACATATTTCTGTTTTTTATGCCAGCTGGTACAGGGATCAAACCCTGGACCTTGTTGTTATCAGCACCATGCTCTAACCAACTGAGTTAACTGGCCAGCTTCCACATTTTTTTCCTAAACGCTTTCAAATGGAAATGAGGTTGTCTCAGATTCTAGGTTTTGAGCTCCTCCACAGGATCTGAAAATAAAGCATTCTTTCCCGGTTCCATTTGAATGAATTGTGAATTTGTTATTTAATTTACTGGCATCTTGGTATACAAGTTTTGCTGGAGAAGTGAGCTTTGCGTCTCTAGTCTGGTTTGTGGATTATGCTTCATTAGATTTCTTTGCTGTATTACCAGTGCCCCCTGGTGGCAATATGCTATATGACTTGGAACACAAACACCACTTTTTAAAGTGTATCTTCAAGTTTTTAAAAAGCATTTGTCTTTTATTATTTTTGCCAGTAATTTGAAAGTATCGTGTGAAAGAAATTATTTTGAAAGCATTAAAAACCTTCCCCAAAGGGAAAATGTGCTCAGATCATAGGCAGTTGCAATTCTAATCTTTTATGCATTTGATCAAGGAAAATTTACAAACCATTTTTACCTCTCACTATCACAATCATTAATGTCTCCTTTTATAGCTACCTACACTTTGTTTACTTTGAAACACCAAGTTGGCTGCCTTTTTATTATTATCATTTACATCCTAGAACTCATGCAGTTTCTTTTAATTGAAAGTTCACATCTTGTTCCTTGAATATTTTGAACATTTCTTTCTTAACTCTTTTTGTTGTTTTTGTTTTGCACTGTAAAAGTTATTAAAATTTAAGCCGGTCTTAACACACTCACCTCTGTAGCATAAGGAAGTGTGAGAAGGAATTTCTTAATTAATGAGTTTACATGTTTAAATCAAGCATATTATAAGTTATATGCCATGTGTTGAAGGCTTTTCTATTTGTATGTATAAAGACTCTTGGTATTTTTGTTTTTAATGTCATTGTGTTGCAATAATTTAACTCCTTTTACTGAAAATATTTCTTCTGTTAAGTAGCGCTCTTGACTTCAATACCCAAACACTGAAAATCATATCAAAGGTACCCAAAGATAAGTTTTTATAAAGATACACAGTTTATGAGTTCTGATTTATTTAATACTCATTAATCTAACTATGCTATGTTCTAAATGAATCATGAATGAGAAGAATACTTTATTATGGAATTATTTAAAACTCCTTTAAAAGAAAATGAAGAAACTATAAACATAAGCTAATCTGGTTGCCAAGTTGGAATTCATTATTTAATTTACCTCCTATGCAATGATTAATGCTGCAAAATGTACGGTTATGTTACAGTATGTTCACAAAAGAAATATTATTACAAGGCTTGAGAGGTAGCCAATTGCATTTTTTTGAAAACTTAATGTACTGTTTCAATGTGTTAAGTGCCTTGTTGTAAAGTAAAATTTTAAGTCTGGAATTCATTATTTTCCTGACATATATTTTTCATTATGATACCTACTGTATGCTATTGTAATAGTTTTATTAAATGCTTTCATTTTAATCAAATATGTTCAGAAGGTCTTTTCTCCTGCCCACAGTACCTTAATCATTGGTCTATCATACAGGATTTGAATTCAGGTTCTTTTTTTAATAAAGAGGAAATTATCTTTGTTTAGGAATATGTTTTTCATGCTTGTGCCTTTGTGTTTGTAAAAATATTTCAGGAGGAATTTAGTTCATAGTTTCTACTTCTGAAATGCCATTTTACATTTACATTTTTAAGTGCCTAATTGTTAGAACTAATTTATGTTTCTATTCTAAAGAGGATATATGTACTTGGTTTCTAATCTCTTTGGTTTTGCTTAAAAAAAAAAAAAATGCAAGAGCCTATACTTTGTATTTTTACCCAATAAACCACAATGACGTCTACGGTCTTTGCAAAATTAGTATTACTGTTTCTTTCAATTTTTTTTTAATGTTTTTTAAAAGATTTCTTAAATTTACTTTTACAATACTAGTTAAAACCGCAAGAGGGTTATTCTCTTCAAGCACTATTTTTAAAATAAGGTGGTAACCTTCAATTAATGGATTATAGTGGAATAATACCCAACAATATGAGGTTATTCATGGAGAAGAAAAAAATCAGTTACATGCTCCATGATTCAGATTCTCATTGTTCACAAGGGGACAAAATCATTGATTTTTCAAAAACAGCATAATCCTTTCTGTCACTCAGTTCTGAAACAAATGTTTCCTCCTTCCTTACAGAGGGGGCCCTGGGGCAATGTACTCAACTGGACTTCCCTGTCATTGTAACTGGAGGTTGCAGTAAGTTGTTTTTGGACTCCCTGGTGAAAATGAGTGTGATGTCCAAAAAGATAAATTTAGTAAGAGCAATTCAGTGGGGTGAGGGGCGTAGGGTAAGATAATATTTAGGTTCGAAGATTAAGTTCTTGAATATAGTCCATGTTTTATCCTTGGATTATCTGGAAATGATAGAGCATAGGTCAGAATAGTTTTCCCACCACCTCTACCCAGGCCTTGGGTGAGAAGCTTATCAGGGGGATGGTCCTGCCCTGTTTGAAACATTGGCATGCTGGTTTTGCTGGCTGTAGGCTCAAGGACTCCCCTTATCTAGAATGCATTGTGCAAGAAACTAACATGAACTCATTTATCATTACAAGGAACTAACAGCTTTTATTAACAGGCTAATTCTCTCTGGGTTCTATTTTTTTTTTTTTTTCTTTATATGAAAGCTCTTGGATGTGCCTCCTATTAGTGGATAAAAATCTCTGGGCATTTTTGAAAGTGCTGATAGTGAAATATTTTAAAGTAGTGGTTCTCTCAAGCTAACTCTAATAAGGAATTAATAGGCAACTTTACAACTACAGGTAAAGTGGCATTTTGCATTGTACTAATCATGGGCAAGTTTCATAAGTAATAAAACCACTTTAAAACTCACAATAAGGATGGTGGGTAGGAAAAATATTTATCATCCATGCCTGGGTTGAGACTTCTACCTCAGAGCTGTTGATCTAAGGATTAGAGTGTAGTGGTGTATTCAAACAAGTCTTCCCACCAGGATTAGTATGCAATGAATAGATCAAAGGTTTCAGCTAGTTTCACTAAAAGATGAATACACATTCACTTCCTGCGACCTTCATCCCTTCCTCACCACATTTAAGGACAAGAAAGCATCATCCATATACCTACTTAACCATGGACTCAGCTTCAAGTCTGTAAGGCTTTTTTTTTCACTGTTAGTCATTACAGTCTTGACTTGCAAAGAGCATTCAGTCTCTCCAGATGATAATGCTGTGTTGTTTAGAGGTGACCACAAGATTTGCTTATACTCGTCGTCTTTGATATTTTTAATCTGCTGAGAGATAGGAAGACAGGAGACTAGACTTTATTTACCAAGCATCTGAGTGCCACTACAGCTGTTGATAAGTGAAATTCCTACTGTTAGATCAGATCTTTTAAAATTCAGTTGCATAAAATATGGTGTCTTGGATTTGCAAGGTTAAGGAAATGTTGGGGAGGGTCTTCATAACTAACCAGCTAGATGTTCCAGGGAGCTTATTACTTTTTGGATGCATTGTCACAGGATTTTATCATGTTTTTCTGTTTTTCTATTTAATAGAATTTCAATCAGGCATCAGATTTTATTTCATCTATGTTGGGAGAGGCGATCTGCCATGCCTCCATCTCAGATGAGCACCCATCTCAGCACATTTTTGCTGGGCATGCCAAGAATACAAGGCCCTGAGCACTGTTACCCAGGCCATTTCTCAGGATTGTGTCTGCAGTGAACCACCTTGAAGGATGAGGTAGCACATCACCCCAATAAAGAGAAGGCTTGTTTCTGCTACTGTAAAGCAGTAAAAACCCTAAGCTCATTGTTCCTCGGCTGAGATGCAAACCAATGCACATGTAGCATCCATGTTGACCCCTCAAGTTGCCCCATGTGATCTGGAGATCAAAGTGAGCCAAAGAAACCACAATGACACTTTGGCTACTATTGTGCCATGAGTAATTTGTCTCTGACCCAGTAGTCTTGTGTCTTCTCCCAGCATCTATGAAACAGGAACAGGCTAACTTATTGGTTTGTAAGTAGGTAAAGTCATAGACGCTTCACAAATCATGACGTCGAACATTTCATTTTCTCCTAATACATAAGAATAGCAGAAGTGCAATACTGGATTATTCGCTAATATAAATTAGGATAGTAAGGGATTATGCACTACTATGTATATATATTGCACGTTTAATTTACATGTGGCACCTGTAATGAGGCATAGTATTTTACAGTTCATGCTTGACATACATTCTTTAATCTTCACAAAACCCTGTGAAGTAAGCAAGGCAAGAGGTGGTGACCCTATTTTATGAGATGAAAGGGTTCACAAATGTTAGAGCTGGAACTTGAGTTTGGTTTTCACTGGCTATAGTTTGCTGCCTCACTGTCATAATTACTGTGGCCACCATCACAGTTAAGAGTTTTGTTGTTTTTAAGGCAAAAATCGTGGTTCTCATTTCCTTATCAGCCAATTAGTTTAAGAGCTAACTGGTCCCTGGAACTTGTACTTTGTCAGATGCTACTGGTTTTTCTTTTTTTTTTTTTTTCTCTCTTTTTGTCTTTTTCCGTGTCCGGCAATGGATCGCAACCCTCAGTGTCGCCCCCGTACCGGACCGGGAACGGGATCGCAGCCCTCGGTGTTGCTCCCGCGCCTCGCTCAGCCAGTGAGCGGGAACCGGTCTGTATGTGGGATCCGAACCCTCGGGCGGGAGCGCTGCCGCGCTTCCCAAGCGGCGCACTGTAGCAGTGCGCCACCGGGCCGGCCTGCTACTGGTTTTTCTTACAGTTGCAATTTACTACATTTCAAAGGAGAGAGAAGTCAGCTCCTAGTACAAAATGGATTGAACACAAAAGAATCCCCAAGTTTTTGAGCTCACAAATTTGTTAGAATAAAACAAATTGTCAGTGACTTTTAATGTCACATGTTTAAGCTTATATTTCCAAAGGCCCCACCGTGCCTGCCTTTCCCACATTTGCATACTCACCAGGTACTTGAATTGTTCTGCTGTATGCCTCCAGAAACTTCCAGAAAAGTGAGTAATGAATTGCTACTCACTTCATTCAATGAAGTGAGAGAACAATTCATTCATTCAATGTAATTTTTGGCTCACCCTGGCCCTGCTGCCCTTGACCATGGAATTAAGAGTGATCATTTTATCCCAGTCACAAGTAGCTACAGCTGATCCATCACAGTGGCACTGTATGTCTGGTACCGTTTTGTACAACATAGTAACAGTGTAACAATGTTACTGCGTTTCACCAGTAACTAGTGAGCTGATTTTTGAATGACCTTCCTATACACTGGGGAGAACACTAGATGCAATCACCAAAGCATCTTGAGATTAAATGATATTAAAGAGAGTTAAGCTCAAAAGCAGAAACAGGTTTTAAAGGTTGTTTTGCTATACAGCAGACTTCCCAAAAGAAGTGGTGAGAAATCTGCTGAGTTAGCAAGCCCAATTAAGCAGCATATTAAAAGTGGGATTTATTCCTGGAGTGAAAGGATGGTTTAACATGTGAAAATAAACCAATGTAATATACCACATTTACAAAACGAAGAGGGTAAAAACACATCATTTAAACTGATGCAAAAAAAATCATTTTACAAGTTTCAACACCTTTTCATGATAAACACTCAACAAACTAGGAATAAAAGGAAATTACTCAACATAATTAAGGCTATATACGAGGGTACTTCAAAAAGTTCATGGGTTTGTATTATCTTTTAATTCTATTTTTCCACAGACTTTTTGAAGTACCCTCATATGAAAAACCCATATATGACATATACTCAATGGTGACTGAAAGCTTTTACTCTAAGATCAGGAACAAGACAAGAATGTCCACTTCTCTTTATTCAACACAGTATTAGAAGTTTTAGCCAGGGCAATCAGGCAAGAAAAAGAAATAAAAAGCATCTTTACTAGAAAGGAAGAAATAAAATTAACTGTTTGCAGATGATGTGTTCTTACATGTAGAAAACTCTAAAGATTCAACAAGAAAACTTAGATGTAATAAATGAAGTCAGCAAAGTTACAGGATACAAGATCAACACAAAAATCAGTTGTGTATCTATACATTAAAATGAACAATCTGAAAAAGAAATTAAGAAAACAATTCCATTTACAACAGCATCAAAAGAATAGAATACTTAGGAATAAATTTAACCAGAGAGGCAAAAGACTTGTACGCTGAAAAGTAAAAAATATTGCTGAAAGAAATTAAAGATCTAAATAAATGGGAAGACATCTCATGTTCATGGATTGGATGACTTAATATTGTTAAGATGACAACACTAACCAAAGTGATGTAGAGATTCAATGCAATCTCTATCAAAATCCCAGTGGTGGTGGTGTTTTTTGTTTGTTTGTTTGTTTGTTTTCACAGATATAGAAAAACCCACCTAAAAATTCATGTGGACTTTTTTCAGGGGATTAAAACAATAGCCAAGTTTGTCAGTATAGCCAAATTTTTCAGAATAGCCAAAATAATCTTGAAAAAGGATAGTTGAACTCATACTTCCTGATTTTAAAACTTACTACAAAGGTAAGTAGCCAAAATAGTAGCCAAAACAGTATGGTACTGGCATAAGGAAAGACATATAGACCAGTGGAATAAAAAGTGCAGAAATAAACTCTCACATTTATAGTCAATTTTTGACAAAGGTGTCAAGACCATTCAATGGGGAAAGGACAGTGTTTTCAACAAACAGTGCTGGGAAAACTGGATATCCACATACAAAAGAATGAAGTTAGATCTTTACCACCATATACAAAAATTAATCCAAAAATGGATCAAAGACCTAAATTTAAGAGCTAAAACTATGAAACTCAGAAGAAAGAGGCGAAAATCTTCATGACCTTGGATTGGGTAATTGTTTCTTAAGTATGACACCAAAAGAACAATCAATTTAAAAATATAGATTAATTGGACATTATCAAAATTAAAAACTTTTGTGCATCAACAAACATCAAGAGAGGGAAAAGACCATCCACAGAATGAGAGAAAATATTTGCAAATCATATCTCTGTTAAGGGATTTCAGAATATCTAAAGTGCTCTTACAACTCAACAATAAAACCAATTCAAAAATGGGTGTATGATTTAAACAGACATTTCTCTAAAGAATAAATGAAATAAATGTTCAGAAAGCACAAAAAAGATGCTCAGTAGGAAAAATGCAAGTTAAAACCATAATGAGATACATTTGACACCCATTAGGATGGCTATTAAGAAAAAAGAAAAAACAGAAAATGACCAGTTTTGATGAGGACATAGAGAAATTGAAATACTTCGCATTGCTGGTGGGAATGTAAACTAGTGCAGCTGCTGTGGAAGATACATTAGGCAGTTCCTCAAAAAGTTAAACATAGAATTATATGATCCAGCAATTCTACTCCTAGGTATATACTCAAACGAATGAAACCAGATACTTGGTTTCAAAAAGATCCTTCAACATTCATGTTCATAACAGCATTTTCACCATAGCCAAAAGATGGAAACAACCCATATTCATCAACAGATGAATGGAGAAACAAAATGTGGTTATACCATAAATGGAATATTATTCAGGCATAAAAAGAATGAAATTCTGACACATGCTACAAAATGTATAAACCCTGAAGACATTATGCTAAGTGAAATAATCCAGACACAGAAGGACAAATATTGTATGATTCTCCTTTTGTGAGGTACCTAGAATAGGCAAATGCATAGAGACAGAAAGTAGAATAGAGGTGATCAGGGCTGGGGGAAGGTGAGGATGGGGAGTTATTGCTTAATGGGCACAGAGTTTCTGTTTGGGGTGATAAAGTTCTGGAAACCGGTAATGGTGATGTTTCTGCAACAGTGTGAATGTACTTAATTCCACTGAATTGTACACTTAAAAATGGCTAGGATGGTAAAAAATAAAAATAATTTTTTAAATTAACCAAAGTGATAATTTCTCTACTCTTTAAGTCATTTCTATGTAGCTTCCAGCCCCTCCAGCCCCTGCCCCACATTTTGAAGTCACCTCTTTCAACAGTCACCAAAGACAGATTTCCTAACTGTCAGATTCAGGGGCCTCAGAGTAGCACCTGTTTTAGCTTCTTGATCTTGCCTTCACAGTTGCCTCAGTTCTTTTGAGTCCTTTGCTTTATCTGAATGCAGTCGGCACTCTGCATCTACTGCCTGTTCTTGTGCACGCTGATTGCTCATTCCTGAATGCCTGCCTTTTCTCTCTTTCATCTGTCAGAATTATACTAAACTTACCAAGCACTCATTTACTTATCTCATTTTCAGCCTCAGAATACAAGCAGAAAAGAGTGCTGTCATCAGCTGGAATGTCGGTCGTGGTTTAAGACTTGGCACATATTTGCTCGTCCTACTCTAAGGATGAATTGTATGTTAGGGAATACAGCTGTTTGTAACTTTGGGAATGAGACAGAAACAGCCAAGAGTACCAGGACCACGCCTTTGGGACAATAAGAAAGTAAACAGATATACTTGGGCAGTGTATTAGTCCATTTCTATTGCTTGTAACAGAATACCTGATACTGAGTAATGTAAAAAGAAAAAAGATTTCTTTCTTACAGTTTTGGAGGCTGGGAAACCCACAGTCCAGGGGACACATCTGGTGAGGGTCTTCTTCTTGGTGGGAA